TCCAACACTCACTTCCAGTTACCCAATTCATTTGTATATACCCCCTCTAGATAACTATAGATGTCCTTAGGAGGGGCATGTACAATTAAACGGGGAGTGCTGGAGGGTAGGGGTAGGGTTAAGGATGGGGGTACAAAAGGAACTCTTTCCTTTAATTTTTTTATTTGATCGCAAAGATAAATTTTCTTTTAATTTTAAAAACCCTGTGAAATATAGGAAGGAATTACCATATGCAAATGAGTGTTGAAGACTAAATCATAACACTGTTACGAATGTTCCGAGGAATATATTGAATTGAGTTCTGTACTGACCATGACACAGTTTTAGTGACAGACATGAAAACACAATGACGTCACGGTAATCCTGAATCAAATTTTCCCTATCATATCACTTACCGTTGTTGCTTATGGATGTTTCAGTTTTAACCACGTAAAATAGACATAACAGAACCACGGGAAGCAACAGTGTTGTCTTCATCGCATCAACGAAATAAAAGTCGGGATAAAAGCTGCCTTGATTCGACGTCACTTCAACTCCTTGTGAAAAGTAAACACTTCCGGTTGAGCGCGCCCTCTGGTGGCTATTTAATTTTCTTAGGTCATTTCTATGGTTTCATGCGAAGCTATCGTATGACGTTTCCTCGGACCTTCGGTTGTTATTGTTGTTAATAATAACAGGCGGGGCTGTTAATTTCATTTATTCAGTTTATTCAAACAGGTAGTCTACACCAAAACATGACTTGAAAACACAGTACGAATTCCAAGCCCGACACGGTTTATATGTATCCATTCTGTGATCCATTCTACAATATTTAAGTCAGGGCTAAGGATCCAGTCTGGAACGATTTCATTTAAAAGATCCGTTCTCTCTGGTACAACCTTTTTACCCGTGCACACTGCGACACGGCCAAGGAAGACACCTACTTTTAAGCAAGATTACTAGTATAACATAATACTAGTGACCAGTTATGGACAGATCACGGGGAAAAGGAAAAGCGAGCAGCAGATCCGGCGGTGCGTCTAGAGGTGCGAGCAGAAGTGATGCCAGCAGCAGCAGAGCTGTTGTGCCACGAGGTAGACAGGACATGGTCGTTACCGGTTCATCCAGTGGAGGTGCCAGAGGTAGAGGGGGAGAAGTTATGCTGGCTCCGAAAGGTACAATCACGAGTGTCTTTAGTCAAATTTATTATTCTATTTATAATAATTATTTTGATGTGCCGGTGTTGGACATTGTGTTTTTTTTTTTATTGTTTTTTTCCAAAATTGATATTTTAGGCTACACAATGAGACCAATCATTCCAGCTGAAAAGAAAGAATTAGTATCGGTTGCTAGGGCAATGCATAGAGAAAAATTTGGTCCAAGAGTTCAGGAATTATTCAATCCTGAAACTGAAGCAGCTGTGGAGGCCATCAAATCAGGTAGTTAACATGTGTTTCTGGATATGGAGGCTGACTGTGGAGCCAGACGGTCAGCGAGCATACGTGGCTAATTGCAAATCCAGACATTTAGCCTATGCAAGTGTCTCTAGCCAACTGTGGAAACGGACAAATGATCTTGTAATTGGATGTGGGATTAAAAGATAAAATGCAAAAAGTAAAACTTTTTGCAGCTATAATTACCTAAGAAGTTTAATACAGAAAATGAAAAGAATTAGGGGGGTGGCAACATCATTCCTAAGAATTTGTCTCTGGAGTCATGAACTAATTTACATATTCAATTTGATCCCCTCCCACAATTCACTAACTCATTTCCATGATCAAACATCCTGTTGAAATGGTACTACTTTATACTTGCATTTTTTTAAAGGGTGGTAGTCATAGCGTTGCACATGTGCAACATTTGTGTTGATAAACATTGATTTTCCCACAATCTAATGTGCTCTTCTAATGGAAATCACAAGTATGAGGTTTGACCTGGGCACGTCTTGAACTAATTACCGCCGATGACTTCTTCCATACATCCCAATCACCTAAAAAATACCTAATTAAAGCTTAGTAACATTTCAGTTTGTACTCGTTGATCTCCGCAACAACCAAAGTCTTCCCATCTTTGTTTCTATGAGACCCATATATTTCGTGCATGCGTGGCGCGACGACTACTGGACGTTTAAACTTATTTCACAAATACCAGTAATCACAAATAATCACAACACTTAGTGAATGAATATTGCATTAACCTCTCCTTTGACACAAACTCACGTGATCAAAAATCCTGTGGCAGTGGTACTACTTATACTTGCGTTCTTTTAAACTTATTCCAGCAATCGAATCACTGCAATTTCAAGTGTTTTAAACAAATTAAAATACACCAGACCATTTGTCTTGATGTGGACAATAGCAATAACATTGAGACAAAAAATTCCAGGATAAAATTAAGAGTTAGTTCAACATCAAATGTTTTTTATAATTAATGGGCAGTCGCAGACACAACATGACATCTGTATAAAATTAAAAGTATGGATAGAGACAATGTTGTACTCTTGTGTCAATTACAGCTGAGGGTTAGTATTTACAAATATTTATAAATGCATTTACATGTATAAGCTAAAGTACAGGTTTCTGCCATTCACTGTAGTGAGACAATGTCTCATGAATTTGTAAGTATTTCAAATTGTATCTGCCATCGATGAAGAGCTCTTTTTACAAGACGCTTTGTACACCAATTCAATATGAAGATATTGATCAAAAAGTGACAAAGGATGCACCTCTTCTATGGAGTTTTCTAAAAATATAATTTTTTTTTTAAATTATAAAAAATCTAAAAAATACAGTATGATAACAGAAATAAAAAAGATGTTTCATATTACATTGATATTATAGCCCCATGACACTGTAATGAATCAATGAACATTGTCAAGTGATTTATGACTAACTTTCTCAAAAATAATTTGTGAAGGTTTCTTTCTTAAAAATCTTATGATTGTTCACTACAGGTGTCTACATTGGATGGCGTTGTCCAGAATTTAAATGGGACTGCATACGTGTGGGCAGAGATTCAAGATGTTTCTGTGGGCATTTATTGTTAGAACATGCACCATACAATGGTAAGAATCAATTGTCCATCTGCCCTCAAGTAGGGAGATATGTATAGTGCAAATTGAGGCTGAGCTAATATCTTTCTTGTTGGTCTTAAATCTACTGATATTATGGATATTATGCATTATGGTGTTACCTAATTGCAAAGGTTGCTGAAACTTGTTCAACTTTCTATGCTCTTAAAATAACTCATCGTAATGTACATTACAAATGTTGTCCATGGGTGCGCCACCTATAGAGGCCTGTTTTACAGCATTTTTTGTAGAAAAGAGTATACAGAGAACACTTTTTTTCTATTTATTGGCTGCTTACATACAGGGTCATCTTTTGAGTTTTTTATGATTACTTAAACACATATATTTTAAAAACTGGTCTGTTTGCAATCTCAACCCTGCGTATCCAAACTACATACAAATGCAAACCGTCATTATTCTAAAGAGTTTAGAAATTCATAACCAGAAACATTTTGTGTGCCACAATGAAATAAGCGTATTCAACAAGATGTGTAGTGACACTCATTTTTTACTTTTTTTTCTGTAAATATTCACGATATTCGGAAAAAAAAGAAATTTACATGATATACACTAAACTTGTTATACTGTAGAAAAGATATTCACTGAGTTTAATTTTAGCAGATTTAGTGTTGCTGGGATATTTAGTAGGTTTAAAATTCACTAGATTGTGAAGAAAACAAAATATACTATTTGAACATTCAGTAGGTTTTAATTTAATGACAGTGACAGTTGTACCAAATTAACTGTTAACATACAATTTGTCAATATGTTGGAATTTTTTGCATATGACAGGGCGCAGTACCAGAGTTCCATGCACGCAGGGTGGTTGTTTATGTAAAGCGTTTGCCTTCGTACCAGGAAGACCGGAAGATATAGGAGAGTTTTGGCACCAGAAAAGACGAGGATTTGACCGTAGTGCATGGCGTGCAAAATGCCGATGTAAACATACGCATGAAGAACATGATCCAAATGGAATGAGGCGATGCAAGGCTGGAGGTAAGTGAGTGAATGAATGAATGAAAGACTGCCCTCATAGTCTAGTTCTGTGTTTATGACTAGATCGACCGCGTGAGCTCACATAACGCTTACTTCAATCAAGGATAATTCAGTGTATCTTAGAGCACCTTGATACAATCAATCAAGTTGTCTTAGAGCACCTTGACACAACCAATCAAGTTGTCTTAGAGCATCTTGACACAACCAATCAAGTGGTCTTAGAGCACCTTGACAAAACCAATCAAGTTGTCTTAGAGCACCTTGACACAACCAATCAAGTGGTCTTAGAGCACCTTGACACAACCAATCAAGTTGTCTTAGAGCACCTTGACACAACCAATCAAGTGGTCTTAGAGCACCATGACACAACCAATCAAGTTGTCTTAGAGCACCTTGACACAACCAATCAAGTGGTCTTAGAGCACCTTGACACAACCAATCAAGTGGTCTTAGAGCACCTTGACACAACCAATCAAGTGGTCTTAGAGCACCTTGACACAACAAATCAAGTGGTCTTAGAGCACCTTGACACAACCAATCAAGTGGTCTTAGAGCACCTTGACACAACCAATCAAGTGGTCTTAGAGCACCTTGACACAACCAATCAAGTGGTCTTAGAGCACCTTGACACAACCAATCTAGTGGTCTTAGAGCACCTTGACACAACCAATCAAGTGGTCTTAGAGCACCTTGACACAACCAATCAAGTGGTCTTAGAGCACCTCAACACAACCAATCAAGTTGTCTTAGAGCACCTTGACACAACCAATCAAATGAACAAATTCTTTATCTTTCACCAATTATCATATTCTCCTACATAATAACGTGAAGCAGTTTCAGTATAAACATCCCCATAAATGAATAAAGTACCTTAGTAACTATAAAAGCAACATGTTCATTAGTGTCCCATGCAACATATACAATGCATATAAAAAAATATATTCTTTATTTTTACAAAATTTGCATCACACTCAACAGTGGCACATTAACATATCGCTTGCTGTTCAATTTGTCTCTCCATTCAGTCAGGGGATGTGTTAAACTAAATATATACTAAATGTCACATGACATTTGAAAAATAAATTATTAATTTTCAAAATGGCAATTATAGTTGCCTTTATTTCAAACACTGGAATTTTAAAATATCATTTGAACTTCAACTAACAGTTTCACAGAATTGTGTAAATCTGATTGGTTGTTTTATTCTCATTGTAGGGTGTAGATGCAGTGTCTTTGATTCTCCTTTTGTATGTGCAGCATGTGATAGACATTACGAGGATCATGAAACAGTGTTTGAAACTGAAGATGAACGTCATAGAAATGGAATCCCATATGGTAAGTCAGTAGGAAGTGACTGTGAAATACTTTATTTTAGCTGGAATTAATTTTCGCTGAAAAAACTTTTTGGGTGATCGCCACTGCCCTTTAAGTGTTTCAATGGATCACAAAACACCTAGTATATGCTAGTAGTTGTGTAAAATCATTAAATGAATTATATGAAAGTGAACAAAATATAATAATGTCAGTTACAGATTATAATAGTTGGAAATTACGTATACTTGCAGGTGAAGACTATCTACCGTTTGCCGAGATGCCAGAATTACGTAATATGGCTTTGACAGGACACGATGATAATCCTGGTATTTACAGTGCATTAGTAGAAGGGGAAGGCAGCATACCTAGAAATCAGCGAGCCATCACCCAGGATACACCGTACCGACCTGCGCCATCTGGATCATCATTCAAACCTTCATATGACTGAATATGTCATCCATATGAAAGTATAATATGGTATCACCTCTCTTTTTCACCCAATCAAGTAGTATGTCTTTTTTTGGATTAATTTATATTAGGTGTTCCACAACAAAACCTGTATGAATAATAGTACGCTCATCCAATGTTCTGGGAGAAATTCACTGCATATGAACTCAAGTTCCATATTACATTTCAAAGGAATATTGAGTAGAATACAAAAACACAGAGTACACTTACAAATTTGTGCTTGTTTTTTGTAAACTATTGTCATGATACACAATAAAGAAGTGGAAAACAAGTATTATGCAGATTAGCTAATTAATATGCAAAGAATTATCAGTAATCCAACTACAGAAATAGTATGTGTGCACCAACCAAGTTTCCATCCATTTGAAGAAACGTTTCGGATATAAACAAATTACAGTAGTTACTTAGTATGCTAATGTTTGAAAATTACTGATTCTCGTATGCCTGAGACATGTACAGTATATGCATGTACTCAATTTCAGGTAAATTACTTACAGAATAAATTCCAAGGCTAATTAGCTAATTAATATGAATAAATTAATTAGAATTTACCAAGTTTCAACATACTTGTGAAAATAATTGTGAATGTACACAAAAAAACATAAAAATTTGTTTATTATTCAAATTACCATGCATATATTTGTACCAATATCTAATCAGATCTTAAGTTCTCCATAAAGTATCTATTTTCTAAATTGCATTCCAATCCATCCTTGGGTTCTTGACAGTGGCGGATCCAGAGGGGGGGCCAAGGGGACCATGGCCCCCTCCAAACGCATGAAAATGCATCTGGATTACGCATAGCATCGTCCGAATCGCACGGTCCCGTGTATTCGACCTATAGGCCTGGACCCCCCCCCAATACATTTTGCTGGATCCGCCCCTAATTCTTGAGATATTGATGGAATAATATTTGACACAGAGACACAGACATTACCTCAGATTTGTGCTTTTCACCCAGAGCCAAAAATACATGGTGAATAGGCCTCTTTGGTAAACCAATACCAATTATCCTGTGTAGTCATAATTATTTTCACAATCTCCTGATCTACGATTCATTGAGCCAAATTTGGATGAAGTGTCATTATAAGCCTTTTTGTTGATATTTACAATACTGTGATGAAACAGAATGCTGTCTGTATAATTTCATTCAATTGGTTGTATTTGAATTTGTGTAAATAAACAATAGATTTCACCCACTCATGTATACCTAACTATATATTCTCTGTCAATGTATACATGGCATTTTATTACTTCATGTCTACACAGACTTTTATTTAATGTATTCACTGGTAATAAAAATGTTATCTGTATTAATCATGTTGATTTTTTATCTTTCACATATACTATATACACCCGCAATACAAAATGAGTGATAAACAAAATTCTCCTAATCCAAGCATTTTATTTATATTTTTCTTGTTCCATTTTATAAGTATCGGTATTAAGTTTCAGTTCTGGCAAAAAAGTAGGAGAAACTAGACTTGTTTGCATGAAAGCAGTCCTTTTTGTTTTAATTCTCGTACAATTTTGTTTTTCTTTTCTTTATCAAATTTGTTTGTTCTGTAATTTTCCCTCTAACTTATGGGTTATATGCAAATTACCGGTAATAGAAGCCAAGCTTAAAGGTGTGAATATTATAAATTAGTATCATAGTATCCAAATTTTCATGACAAAGTTTTAATGGTGATGCCTAACATTGTATGGTCAATATTTGAAAGATGAATTCAATGTTTATTGTTTAAATGTTAAAATCGCATTTTCTTAAGTTTCCCTTTTGCTGCTAACAGGACAAGTACCATGACGGCTATGCGAATCATATTGCGTATGATATTGAATGACGTCTTGCTGAACTCCAGTGATGTACTCAGCAGGGATACATTTAACACAGTTACTCCACCAATTACACTCAGCAATATACGTCCAGCACCACTGAAAGCAAAACCAGAATCAACTTTAAAGGATCACAATCTGCAATGCTATGCAACAAGCTATTGTAATGTGTGGAGCCAGGAAAAAAAGACCATGTAGTCAGACCTGTTGTTTATTCAGAACTGCATATCTAGGGGAATTTCCAGCTATTAAATCATAAGCCTAGCTAGCTTGGTCCATAATCATCCTGTGTAACATTAACATGTGGTTTCTAGTTTATTATAAATTCATTATTAGTCTACAGGTATTATTACCTTGTGCGTTTTAATTGACAATCAGTACCCATACTGACTAACAAATTTGCAGCTACTTGCCCCCCCCCCCAAAAAAAAAAACAAAAAAAACAGCTATAATAGATATAATAGTACTATTCTGTGCATGATAATATGATCCATTTTGGTAAAGAACGATGTAGATAGACGATCCGATTTCATTTAATTGCATTTGTCAATGTACATCATTTCTAATTACAGATCAGCTACCTAGTCTGTCTGCAAGTCACATTTACGATAGATCTCCTAGGAAATCAACTCGTTAGAACTTGTGTTACAGGCTACTTTCTAGTAAGGTTCACTTTCCAGTGGTTGACTTGCAGCTTAGTACATGTACTCAGTTATCAAGTCACTACAGAACACTTGTGAAGGCAACTTTGAGGTTTTCTTTGATGTAATGTTCCTTGGGATTCAGATGCGATGTCGATTGTTCAACATGTAATATTTCAACAACACTTTTAAAAGAACAAATTTCATAACATAATCATGCTTACACAATGAGCAGTGGCACATAAACTAGTAGATTGGAATGAAAGTTCATTCATCGGGTTATAAATGACTTTTTTCTTTATGAATTGATCTTAAGAAACAATAATTACCGGGTATATATATTTTTATTTACTGATTTTCAAACGAGAACAAATCTATGCGATAGTATACTTGTACATTGAATACTTGTTTTCAACAACAACAACAACAAAACTGCTGGGTGATATGGATAGTTCAGGGCACATTACATAATCCTGGATGCTTACATAATAAAACATGATGCATCAACAGAAATCACATTTGGAATATCATTTTATTTCCTTTGATGTTTATTGCAGTTGCCTTTCCCTGTATTCCCTAGTGTACAGTATTACCTAATAGGTAAAATAAAGTTAGGGACGATCTCATATTCAAACACTTGGGTCAAACCGGGGTTAACCCAAACCGCTAAAATAAACTCCAATGGTTTCAAAGTCTAGACAATAGACAGTGAGTCCCAGGATGGTCGCATGAATTTTCATAAAAACAGTGGTTCAAATCATTCTTTTTCACACCTTAGGTGACATACACCAACAAATGGAATTAAAACCTGTGTGTTTAATAAATAAGTTTCTCACCTGATTGTCAACAAAAATGGAAGTATATACTCCAACACCCATGCTATTCCGCAGTCAAAGCAGAACACTATCAATTTTGACAAAGTTATTCTTTCATCATACATTGCCTGATCATCATTGGCACCTATGAACTTCAGAAATGCGCTGGTCAGCGGTCTGGATGCATACCACGAGACGACATGGCTGGAAGTACTTGCTAATAACACAGATAAAATTGCCATATTCCAAGCAGTCTGTAATTAGGTTGTCAAAGTATTCATGAATATTTTCACTGAGAATTCATGGCCTATGCATACACTGTATAGATACGATTGCTATAAATTAAATCAGATTTATTTCTTTTTCACCTGTATGCAATATATATACCTACTGTCAAATATTTTAGCTGAAGACATTTTGGATATTTTGTATAAAATCTATTTTCACTAATGTTTGACGAGTTGAATGTAAAATACGAAAAAAAGTGGATTTAAATTTTTCATCCTGAAGCGAAAATACCATAAATAAATTCTCAGTAAAAATAAAAGTACTTTACAGTATAGCCCTAGGTAAGGTAATGAGCACATGAACTTGTGACAAAAATACATCACCATGGCGAGATCAAAAACATGATAAATGTCACATCTATGTCAAAATAATTAAACATTTATTTCCCAATGAACAATACCTTGTGCACTGCAAAACAAAGCTTTGCTGGTTTTTTGCAGGTACTAAACTTTGCAGGTTCTGCACAAGCTCAGTTGATATGTACACTACACAGATTGGGTTCAATGATGTGGAGAAAAGCTAGAATGAAAAGAAGTAACCTCTGTTTTCCCCAAGAGTTTGCTTACCTTTATGAATGGTAAAGAAAAAAACAACTTCAGATTACAGGTGCAGAGTCCGAATACTAAGGTCAGTTGAGGTCATCTAGGACAACATACATGTGCTTGGGCAATCTATGTCAACGAAGCTTTTCAACCAATGGTTGGTATTGATTGAAGTGAGCAAAACAGTTTTACCGGTAATATTCACTGCATTCAATAGAAACCAGTGGTTATCACAGTTTGTTTAACTCATATTTTGTGCAAAAATAATTACCAGTAGAGGACCATATATTTTTATCTAGGTTTTGAACAAAGGAATAAAATATAAATATATTATAAAAGTCAAATAAATCCAAGTATAAAAGCCAACAAGTTTAAAGCAGGGGGAGTCGTCACCTACGCATGCGCGCCAGGTGGCCATAGCGCGTCATTGTTTACAAACAAGCGTCTACCTATTTGCGTTCTTAGCGAGTGTTATTATCATCGCTTGGAACTCAATTCCCACGCGTGCGCAGATGACAACCCTCCTGCTTCAACCTTTTCACCACCAGACTTTCCCGCCTAAATTTTTCTGTCCTTTTTTTCTTATATTCTTCAATATTTTTGGAAATGAACCCTAATTTTGGAGCCAACAGACAAAATTTGCGTCAATTTTCAATTTTTAACAAAAAAATTAGACTATTTTTGTTTCAATCGTCTGAAGGAAAGTGTAGTTTATAAACAGGAGTGTATTGTGAATTTGTGATGAAAAAAGGAAACTGGTGGTGAAATAGTTGGACAAAATGACATGAAAGTCGTCACAGGGCTTTGGTATACTGAGGGCACACAATTTCAAAGCGGACTAATTGATATGATGAACATATTGAAGGGTGGCAAGGCATTCAGATTAAGCATCAAGGCAACTGCCGCTATGGCCTCTGTGAATTTAAGCTCTGTCTCTGCATGTTTAGGATTGCAGAGTAATTTTCAACATTTCATGATTTCCATGGACTTGCGAAATTTAAAAACAATACAGCTGACATACAAAACACGGACAAACTTTTGCCATCAATTCACAGATAATGATTTTTTTGTCGTAAATGGTGAGCAAAATAAACAGATTAGGGCACACACTTCAAAAGAGGGGGTGGGTATAAAGAATCTGCTGTTCATCGCAGTTACAATCAGATAATCAATTTACAAATTTATAATAATAAGAAGGAAACATCCAGACTTTATAGTTAGCATGAAAATGTTGCTCACTATTTGATTATGGGAAGCAAACTGAATTTTCTGATCATTAATCGACTTCAACACCAAATCATGGATTTGACTCCAATATTGCATGTCTTACCATATTTGCTTTATTAGTAGCACATGTGCTTAAATGAAAGTGGCGTGTTCATGGCCAAAGAAATAATATATAAATGATTTAGTATACAAATCATATACAGCAATTCCAGACCCATATTTGACGCTGAAGTAGTGCTAGATGTTACTTACTACAATAGGTTACACACTTTGTTTTCACATTTACATAAGTTGTAACTAGAAATATAAACAACGGCTGCAAATCAGAGGAATGATTGACAGACATTGCCCACAATGTTTTCTATTTTTGCTACAAAGTCAGGTACACCTAGACTTTGAAGCACGTCTGTCTTTCATTCATCTTTGGTCAGTCATCGTGTTGATTGCGTGTCCACAAATAGGCATTTGTCCAAGATGTTTAAGCACCACAATGGAGAAGCAAGGAGTCAAAAAACCAGTTGAAGTGAGAACAAGAGTTGTCGATTTGTATTTTCGTGGACTGTCATTCGCTGAGATTGGAGATCGAAATGGTGTTTCAAAGCAGACAGCTCATAATATCGTCAAGCGGTTTGTTATCACCGAGAGTATACTGCCAGGAAACTGACGTTATAGACTATGTCCAATATTATAAAACATTGTGACCGCACATTTATGGACGGGAAATTCGACAAAAACTACTTATGTATGGCAGCAACCCTCCCTGGACGTGTGATCGTGTGTTGCCAGCTTTTTAAAGCAATTATTTTGTGGCATGTCAACCTTTTGGTTCTCATCATCAAGAACTAATAATCGAATAACATCCATTCTACTTCATGTATTCAATTTCATTATTGATATACTGGATGAAGTCTTCATAGGACATTTGTTGCAGGCACTTTGATCAATAATTCTGTAAAGATCAGTAGGTCAGCTAGTTCTGTAAAATAACTCTACGGGTAACTAATGTTCTTTACAGTGCCACCACTTTATGCACCCCTCTCACTGAAATAACATGTGACGCAAATTGAAGTACGAAACTAAGTTGAGAGCCTCGATCGTTTATTGGAGGAGAAATTCAAAACTAATGTATCGCCACTTTTATGGGCGGAGCTTTCTTACGATGCACTTCAAATTGCAGACATGCTGTCTGCATTATTTGTAACAACTTCTGTAAATGTGAAAACAATGTGTGTAATCTATTGTAGTAAGTTATCAACATTTAGCACTACTTCAGTGTCAAATCAGTGCCTGGAATTGCTGTAATGCAATTGATGGCTTACATGCACTTCTACTGGATACACACTTCTAATAGAGCAAATATTGTATATGGGCAGGGCATTACTGTGATGATGTTATCCAAACTATTAAGACGCAAAGAAAAAAAGTACTTGGGGCAATATAAACATAAACCATGCTTGACACATACACATTCTCCTAGATTTAAATTTATAAAAGAACAAAATCTTTAGAACAAAATAATGTGTTTATTAACTTCATATATTATTTCCATGGTTACATAAAGTGTTTTACCTAATCTAATTTTCTAATACCTCTTGCCATATTTCTGTGTGGGTTTAGCAATAACAAGGAGCAACAAATCTAGAAGTAACAGAAAAAGTTTTAGAACAATTTTTAAAATGTGTTTAAAACAAACATGATGTATCTAAGAAAGCAAGGAAACGTTTTAAAAAAAAAATAAACCTAACTAATGAATTTTGACTTTATATCATTACATTTTTTTCTTTCACTTTGAGAAAATGTAACTGCAGATATCTATTTTTGTCTTTAATCACTTCTGTCTAATGTTAACATAACAAAAGTCATCACTGCTAAACGCACAGTGTTGAAAGTAATGGATAAACCAAATACAGATGTGCTTCGTTCTTCATATGCATAATGTGGTGCTTCTATCATGCTGTGGATGAAGCTAAATCCACCAGCTACCATGGCAACAGTACGCCAGTTACTACCGAGATCAATTCTCCTGTTAAAAAAAAAAAAGAAGAGGAAACAATGTTTTTTTGTAGTGAGGGTATGTCATCAGGGTTCACCAAGTCCCATTTCCCTGTCATGTAATATAAACCCAAAATGTTTGCAATTTATTGATAAATATTTACAGAGATTTCTAATCTCTGAAAAACATCTGTGAAAAGCTTGGTGGTACAAAATTTCAGGATTTTCTACAACTCACGAACATTTTCTTTTGTCAAACTAGATCATTATACGTAATTCAGTATCACATACACTAGCTTCTATTAGGGGAAGATACTTTGATTTCATCTACATTAAACTGAGAAAAATAATATACTTACGGTAATGCGTGATCCAATGCACAAGCCAGCCCAAGATCTGATGTCAATCCAACAATAAATGGTGTGCAATTGCTGCTTATACCCTTGCAATCTTTACCAGTGGCTTTCAACCAAACATTACCAAACATATATGGAGAATACCACGCACAGCCAAGCATTTGGCTACATGCTGTAGCACAAGCAATTGAAAGAAACGGCATTCTTCTGTCATAAAAAAAGACAGAAGATCAATCAAATATCATAATAATATAGTATAGTCAGGAAACTAATTGAACTAACTGGTTCTGAGATGCCATTTTGCATGGCAAATTGTAATTTGTAATTCAGGGCTGTAGAGGAGTTGGGGAAAAAAGATATGAATGACCCAGGGGCATGTTGGAATATTGGCCTCGATTTGAGTTAACCCTTAGACTGAAAAAAAAAAAAGAGTACAGCATGAATAAATATTCATTTTCATTGCTGCAGAAAAATAACAGATGTAGAACCCCCCCCCCCCCTTTGACATGCAACAATGTAACTGTTTCTAAATATGCCAGTACTTATGTAATGCATTTTTATTTAGTTAAATCAGGGGCTTACTATTTGAATACAAACCTAGGAGCTGCATAAATTACAAATCAAATGTGGCATTACATAACTAATTAAAAAACAAAAATAAGATCAAATGTTAGTATTAAAGAAAAAATACAAAAACGAAAGTTGAGTAAAATGTTAAATTATTGGTATTAAGGGAAAAAAGTGTAAACAAATCACTTTTAGTTTTAGATTATTCTGAAAACTTTTGTCTGGTTTCCATGGCACTGACAAGGAATTGTTGGACTAATTGGCATATAACTAGCTAATCAAACAACATTGCTCTAACGACACACTTGTATGTAAATTAGTTTTATACAAATTGATCACAGTCAACAACATTAATTCGAAATTTTCGTTTCGAAATGTTAGTTTGAAGTTAATGCTTTCGACGATCACATCTATAATTTACTATATTTCTCTGGGACAAACTTTTCAAACACACACACATAAAGGTGACTAAGACCACTGGACTCTCCCGACACCGACACCACGAGGAGAGGATGACATAGAATGGAATGTTCATGGAATCAACATGCATACTTGCAGTTGTTAGGGTCATGAAAAATGCAGTTTACCTTAATAATCAGCAACAGTGCCAGTACTTTGCGAAGTCAAGAGCCTTATTGATTTTTGAACGAGCACGCAAATCCCGAGATGCAAGTTTTGTAGCGTCAGGATGAGTTAAAAATGCACTTCCGGTGTATTGAGGGCGCTTGGTCAGCCGCGGGGGGGGGGGGGGTCGTCATTAATATAACATTTGCATTTTTTGTAACTGGCGACTGTTCTTGCGAATATGGAACAACCATGAAAACTATAAAGAGCCTTATATATTTTTTTAACATTAGTAATTTATGGTAAATGTGTATAGGGTCGGCAAGGAGGATTTTCGTAGGCTGTAATCAATTGTTTTTATTTTCGTAAGAATGTAATTTAAATAACTAAAAAAAGTAAATTCGTAGACATGGGCAAGCTGTAAAGTGAAATCACCTATTTTATTCGCCCATAATTTGTACTGCGATCTTATTTTTTCCAAGCATTTTAAAGCATTTTCCCCATTAAATGTTGTAATTCATGCGCAATTTCTAATTTTGATTCGTAAACACAAATGGTCAAGTATAGTATCAGGGGTAAAACTCGTCTCGTCTCTCTATCTCGTCCCCTTGAGGTACGGGATCGGGAAAGTCACTTATACCTTACTGTCAAATAAGGCACACACAACGAAATACGTTTCAGCTCTCGTCTTAGTCGGTCAATCGAGCACTCTATAAGACACAGCGCCCTGGGGAAAAGTCCCCAAGACTGTCCAAGGCTGACCCAAGACTCTCTTAGACTGCGTCAAGGCTCGCCCCAAGTCTCTCCAGGACTCTCGACTGCCCAGGACTGCACTCTCTCTCTCTTCTGCGTCTATCGTGCTGTGTTCGTCAAGACCAACTCAAACTCTCTTTATTCATTTTCAAAACTCTGACCAATTACAATGCAGTAAAAAGACTCTAGGGCGTAACCTTCAATCATAAAGCCAATCACACTAAGTACTGAATACGTCATATCTTTTGATTAATCGTTCACTACATTAATAACTATGGATGTCAGAATAGCGACGGTATCTTGTAATTAGTTCCAAATCACTGAGCCATGTTCCGTCCAAAACTTCAAATAGACCTAAACGATGACAGACATAACACAGCAATTCAGCTAATAATCAGCTAATTAAGTCGGTTAACAGATACGCAAAAACAAATTCATGACAATAGTATAGTATACAAAAGTAAAATGTAATTAGAAATTTGCTTTATCTGTAAAGTGTAAAAACCTATTTTTTACTTTCTATTTTACATTCTGTAAAAACATAAAATTCATTTTGTATCTCCTGTAACCTGTACCAGCTACCAACCCCCCATCCCCACCCCCGTTTGACATGAGAAAATCCGCATGCAGCAGTAGAAGTAGGAGATCCGAAAATAAACTTGAAAGTATGTTAAATATTCAAAATGTTACCAGCGTTTTTAAAACCTTAAAAACTTCACTGCCTCACATGTACTCGAAAGTTCAAGTGAAATTGATGTACTACGACCGGTCTACATGGTTGAATCTGTTGATGAGTTTAAATAATTAAAACAAGTCTTAGATTAGGACTGTAAGGACAGCGAAAATTTCATTTCAAAAATTTGGGGGAAATATTGACTTTAAATTGAGCACTGACATTTTCATTGGGCATAGTATTCTGTGTACCGACAGAAACTGGTGTGCCAAATTCCCTTTGATTTGTGGTAGTATTGCTAATATTAACATTTGCAACCCATGATGACGGAATTATGCGTGTGTTGTTGTTGTTGTTGTTGTTGTATAGTAGCTTCAAGAATCAATACAAACAATACAAGTCTGTTTTCTATTTCATATTGAGTAATGAAAAACTAAAAATAAGAGTGATTCATTGGTTTTGTCTTACACTAATATGTTCATGTCCTGTATACAGTGCTACATAAAATATAATGACTGTCAATGACAAAACGCGACAAAATGTGGGTATGTGAGCTGTTCCATGGGGTTGCCTATAGTTTTTGACTCTTGATAAAAGGCCAATTTGGCACCAAAAGTTATTGAATCGGTCATCCAGTGATCGGCATATTGCAAATATGTTGTAATAGATGGAATTATAATTTATGCATCCATTGATATATTCGTACTGTACACTAAAGTTTGTATTAACAAAAATCAGTATCAAACATTGTTACTCTGTTCTTGATTAACAGCGAGCGATAGTGACTGCGTTTGAGTTTGCCATAACAGCTGACTGTGGGAATGGTACGTGTTTCGACATATACTCCATATTACGGTCTCGAAAGTCAACATATTGATTTTGTCAGACTGAGTGCCCAATATCGTACCCACCTTGAATGGATCATATTTTGCTATAATGTACTTCGTGTCCTCACTAGAGACCGTCAATAGGTGCTTTAATATACCTGACATAAAATTTACGATGTACAGTCTTGGTGTGCTATATGCTGGGATAGTGGGTCATTGTATTAAACAAAGCTAACCTATATTGCATTGATTGTCGAACTCGAACTTATTAGTTGATGCTAGGAGCCGAACAGTTGAATTATATTAAATTATATACGTGAAGGCTGTATGAATGATCATCCACAACGATATTCCGTTAAACCACGTTCTTCTAGTAACCGTGGTTAAACCTATAGAAAATATTGCCTATAGAAGGGAACATAACTGGGCACGTGTATATAAAGAGACCACTGATGATATATACCAGGTGCATACAGCAAACTACAGTGGCGGATCCAGCAAAATGTATTGGGGGGGTCCAAGCTACGCTTAAGATATACGGACCGTAAATCGCAGAGAAGCTATGCGTAATCCAGATGATACGAATCGTCATGCGTTTTGGGGGGCATGGCCCCTCTGCCCCTCCCTCTGGATCCGCCACTGACAAACTACGTCACTGCCTGTGGCAGTATATCACAGCAGTTAATCGTTGAAAAATAAAACAAAGAAAAATTCTGGTAATGCTGCACTAACGCCCAATCACTACTGGATATTCAATTCGGTTTGGGATGGGGGATATTATTATAATTCATATAATTCTGCGAGAACCTTTGTCCTGTAGCACCTGCATTTTGATAGCGTAAATTAACGTTTGTAGAACCAAGTGACATTTGGGCAGTGTCTACTTTTATTGGTATGGTAGTTCTGAACCCAAATGATACTATAAATGTATCAGGTCCAGTGACTACATATGGAGCAACACGATATGCCATTATAATAAATGAAAAAGGGTAAATTTCTCAGTTTGTTTACATACTTGGTGTTGGCAGAAGTGCTCGACTGTGGTAACAACCAGCTCTCAAAGACACGAGGCTGATTGTCTCTTGTGCATTTTGCAAACATCAATATTCACGTTTTGGACACAATCTCTGTATTTCTCTAACCATACCAAAAGAAGTGAAATATTTTACCAATTCTGATGCAATGGCCGTGTTTTTTGTAGCTTTTAGTCACCGTTGTTGCTGTGGGTGAGGGCGTCTTCATTTGAATAATAGACTGCGCCTATTTATATACTATGTCGGTCTCTAAAGTATCAACCAGAACCAGGATGTACGTTATTTTCTGATTTGACAGGTATCAGATCTAGACAGATACGATGTATGTATAGATGCATGGTCACGAGTATACATACACGACAGTCCCGAGATGTATTGGTGTATACAAGTGCCATTACGCGCTCGTACAGTTACGTCATTACATTACACAAGGTACTGTGATTGGTCAACACGTAATGCACCCACACTGCTATGGTGTCAATAATAAAGATTTAATTCGGTACAGTTTGTATACTTAATATTCATTTATATCAACTCCTATCAAACGCGGTAATGGGAACATCATTGTACGATACACTGGCAAATAATATTTGTAGCTCGTGGTTCACCTTTTTTAGCGTGACTGCCTGGTCGTCTGAGTATTTTTCGTGATACAGCAGGATTTCGTCATAGAAACACCCATTGCAATTCAGTCTTGTATATCAGCATATATCGAGCGAGTTGCCCAAAGAGGCAATAGCACACATTCACCCTCTAGAAAATACTCGGAGAACAAAGATTAAGAAGTACCAAACGACTAAAAGAGGGCACTGAGTAGAATTAATTACCATCACAATAGAATTGTGTAACAAATGACATTTGAAAAATTTACTTCCTTATCGTTCTTAAGAAAGTAACGCTACCACAAGACTCAACCACTTCAACACGGACTATATTCTTCTACGATGTCTGGCATAGGTATGGCGTATATGATTATATCGGTATAGGCTTAATAATACAACAATGAAAAGTACGTTTCTCATAGACTATTTGTTGCCATGATTTATTTCCTTAGCTGACCAAGAAATGGTCTGCGTTGATGGGCATGTACAGCCCCAGACGGCTGTTGACCAACAACCATATCTCATATTTCATGAAAATGAACAGAAGGTAACGTCTTAATTCTTTACTTATTTTCCATTGGTGTAAAACTACATTTTGAGCTAAGTCCCCGTGTCTAATTTATAATACTGACGAGATTGATGGGATGGCATTATGCAACGAATATGTAAATTATGTGCGACGGCATTGTATTGTTGTACGATATCTGGTACTAAGCCCAAAAGAATCTTTCAAATCCAGACTTTGTATAAAAAGCAGAAAAAACTTATTATAACTAATATAATATACATTTTATATAAAACCAAAGAAATTATGCAACAGTAATAATCAGTTCTCTCAAACGTACATTTAAACAAATGGATTTTAAAAAGTGAACATGGATGGCGCTGTGGACGTTCAAGTGGGGCGGGCGGTGTTTGATTTTGTAGCGTATTTTGCGTATTTTCATTGTTTTATCGACATAGTATGTATGCTTTGCTTTGGTTGACAATGAGCTAGTCGTATCGCTAGAACTATGTCCACCACTGTTGGGGTTTGTATGTTGTCAAACATTTAGTATATTTGGTTTGGTGGAGACAAGGCGCAAGAAAGAGACGGTGTGAATATAATTAATGGTCATGTATCTTTCAAGTCAACTGCAATTAAGCGTACTGCTAGGGGTGAACCAGTGGTGGTGTTTAATTTTTTGTGAGAAAACATCGAGTAAAAGGTGTACAACATGTTGATTGTGAGGAAAATA